CGGGCATATGTATTCATTACTTATTTATTTGATTTATCAAGGGTGATTCCTATTTTGCTAGGATTACATACTCGGTATTTTGGTAAATAAGTGTGATTATATGATGTGCCGTTATAAATTATTTACGGTCATTGTGTCCCAGTGCGCTGGGTTGATGACGTCCCCAAAATGAGCTCAGGAATGAATACTATGTCAAGCCCTGCAGACGGATGTGTTATCCGACATAATGATTAAGGATCAGAGTGGTACTAGTTTCGAAAATGAATAAGAAGTTGATTAATTATTTTGTCAGTAATTTAATTAATCAACGGACGTTATATTTTAAACATGTGGAGATAAATCGATCAATTGGATTAATATATTTAATCAAGTGGAGGTTCGAATTTATTGAATAAATTGGAGCTAAATGGGGAGAGCAATAATATTACTCTAGTGGAATGTTTTATTATTTAATTCTAGTAAATAAGAATTAATTTTATTCCATATTAATTAATTTAATTAGGAAAATAATATTCTTACTAGAATCTTCTCTTGGGATTAGGAGACCAATGAGTCTTCTAGAAGATGAAGATTAGTAGGAGATATATTTCCTACATTATATTATTAATTGGAGTAAGATTAGGTTTCCTAAATTAGGGATTTTCCATGTTTATTAATTTAATTAGGAAAGGTATTCCTACTAGGATCTTCTCTAGTGTTAGGAGACTAAGGATCTTCTAGAAGAGTTAGATTTGTAGGAGATCTCCATCCTACATTGAATTAGTATTGGAGTAGAATTAGGATTCCTAGGCCTAATGGGATAAGTCCATATTTAGCACCTCCTTAAGGTCCCTAAGCCTATAAATACACCATGTCCCAACCTCTTCTCCTACGCGTATGAGATCCGATTTTAAGGTCCTACTAGGGAGAGGAAAATCGTGTTCTTCATATATTCAAGAGTTAGGGAGTTTCGATTAATCGCCCACTAAGATTATTCGAAGTAGGTGTAAAGGTTATACATTAAAAGGCTTTAGGGTACAATACTTATCGAGCCTTTTTATGTATATATGTTTTTCGACGACCCCGCGATCACCGGCAACTCGCCGGAACTTTCTGTAATTTTCCAGTCGCAGCCCGTATACTCAGATTCGCGCCCAGTGGTCCAGTTCATCCGCGTTCGAAGCGAGTCTAGGAGTGAAGAAAGCGTGTAGCGCAGTGGTCTTCTAGGCGTTATCCCGTGCGCGAGGTCGCGTGTTCGATCCCATCTCCTTGCGTAAATAGTAACTATTATTGTTTTGCTACCAGCTCCAGGCTCGCGGGCTTCTTAGCCCGCATTAGGCCCGCGCGGGGCCCGCACTCACCTCACAGCTTCAGCCCGCGAAGCCGAGCACAGCCCGAGTCAGCCCGCGCATCTTTTAGCCTGGCCCAGATGTTCTCTCGCGGCCCAACGCCGTTGTGCGTAGCCCAGATGGACACCACTCGGCCCAGCGTCGTGGAAAGCAGCCCAGTTCGCGTTCTAGCAAGCCAGCTCGAGTCCAGCAACTATTAGGTGGTCCAGACGCACCCCAGTCCAGTTCAGCTCATACCAAACCGGTCTAACATGTTCCAGCAGCCCTGGTTGGTGTCCAAGGCGGTTCCCTAGCAGTTCGAGCAGTACGATTCACCTACCGAAGGTCCGAGACCATCTGATGAGCTTGATGAGCGATTGGAGCACCTTGATGACTCGATTAGAATCGAGAAAGGCCAAGTCTAGCTGCCCATTAGACTTTGGTGTTCAGACGATCTCTATCAACGGAAATCAGAAACATCTCAGAGTCAGCAAAAATTTTAAACCGTAAGTCCTAATCCTTACTATAGATTCTGTTGCGTTAGGATTTATTATTCAATAGATTTGAATTTTGACATTGTCGACGTTCCTAATAGAACCCAACACTCGAAAATACCAATTAAGTTCATAAAAGACATACTCGACATACAAAACAAGATAACGGGTCAAAGGGAAGTCAAACGAGTCGGGTGACAGTCAAAATGGGGCTCGATTGGGTGCTGCCGGGAAAACTAACTACAAATTATACTTACCGAAGTTCTGAGAGTTTGGCTCAGAGCTTCTACCTCAAATTTTTACATATAAAAGAAGGAACAAAAATACACATTTTCACAATAGATAGTTCCTTAAACTTGACCAGAACTTGATTAAACAATTTTTATAAAATTAGCATTAAAATCTGAAGTTACGAGTTCGCGTAGTTATCCTTCGAGTGTTAACTTGAAGTTTTGACACAACACACACACATATGGAAAAAATATTACAATCCCCAGAATTTCAAACCAAGACTCCAAAAACTCAATTTTATATGGATTTTACAAAATTCAGGTCTGAACTCAAAATCGACATTTGACCTAGTTAAACATCTAATCTGGACATGAAATTTTTACCAATCAAACATCAACATCAGAGGACCATATCAAAATTTCACATTAAAACATCAGAACTCGATGTTTCATGATTTTTGCAAAGTTCAGCAGCACGATCAACTTAAAAAATTCATAACTTAATGCACGAACATCAAAACGACCCCAAGACTTGGACTTACAGACCAAGGACACTCCAAATTACCTATATCTTCAAGATTTCTACGAATTTCATAAATGTCCATCAGTATCTAATTAAACCAAAGAGACGAACGCGAAACGACAATCGAACATAAACACACATTACACGGTTTATTCACAAACATCATGGCAGCCAAATATACACACATATATATCAAAATAATAATCTAGGGAAGCCACCCATTACCGTACTCCATACGCAAGACGAGAAACGGGTAGGAAAGACGCTATGATCGAGGGATCGACGAGGGTTTCGAATCCTCTACGGTCACGCTGCTTCCTTGGCTGGCCTCACCTATGACCAGCGGATCCTCTCCGAAGATTCGGATTTTGAAGAAAACCGATTATCCTCCTACTCCTTCCCCAGCCGAGAAACTAAGTCGTAGAAATTGACTGGTGCAGGTCCTAAATAGGCCCGAGGGCCTTTTTTCGCGAGGTTATTGCATATCTTCTCGGCTATCCTCCTCTAGGTCATGATCAAAACAGCTTTGAGCCTTTCGATCCCCATTTCATGTGTGACACCGTAGCATCCTAAGCTTCGCAATTACACCCATTTCTCGAACACCTCTTGAATGTCTCTCCCGACTTGAAAAAGACGTCTCAAGTGAAACTCCTCGAATTCTCTCATCTTCTGGCGTTTAGCCTCTTCCAAAACGGGACCCGATATTCCCGACATCTCGGCGAAACCAACAAAGTATGAAAAGAAACCCTAACGAAAACTAGGTTTCGGCCTCCTGGTGAAAGTCTCGAAAATAAAATCAAAAGACCTTGGGCGGCTTCTCGCTCGACCTTGGTCAAAGGTTGTACGACTAGGCACGATCGGACTCTCATGGTGGATCGCGGGGGCGGTCTCGGCTCAACGTGGAGGTCATGCGTGCTCCGTTATGCTCATCGATTAACGATTCAAGGCAGTTGCGGGGCTCGCCTGGTGTAGACGGCTGTACGCAGAGTCGATCGCGCAGAAAAAATCGATCGTGACGGCTGCTGGGCACGGTGGCTGAGGTGCGGCTGAGGGCTACGGTTGTTCACTGTGATGGAAGAATGTCGTCGTACAGCGGCGGGGAAGTCCTGGGTGGATGACGACGATGCGGTGGTCGTAGGTTGCAGCGAGGGTTCACGGGGCACTGTTGCTCGCGGAGGACGGCGGTGGAAATGGCCCTCGGCGGAGCTTGGGAACTCAACGGCTTATGACGAGTTTCTAAATGGCATCGTCGGAAAACAAACGGCAATGAACAGCGACGGAGATGACAAACGGGTTGAAGGCTTGCGTTACAAGGATTCTGCTCGTACGGGGATGTAACACCCCACTTTGATTTCAAAGAAATTCCGGACTTTCCAAAAATCATGAAATAATTTTTCGAACTCATTTTCAAAAACATGGGCGTTATTCAACATTTAACATCAACCAAGTCATATCTGGTTGCTCGGGGATTCATTACCAGGTTTTCACATGGTTTTCATTAACCTGGTTTTCGACATAACTTATTCAGCTCAAACACCAAAGCATGAAATAACCAAACACATGATAACCAACTCCTATTAGGTTCATCAGAACATACCAAAAATCTAACGTACACAAAACAGGAGTTTTCAAAACGTTTTTCATGTCTCAACCCATAACAAGGTTCAAAAGACTAGAGCATTGTTGGTGGTACAGACCGAACGAATGGTGGTAAGAAAAAGAAAGGAACCGGATGCCCCCGGGATCGAGCCGCTGCCGAACGGATGGGAGAGAATAAGCGAGATCTGTTTAATCATTACAAGAGCCAGTCGTACTGCGCGCATTAAATGCGGAGATACATAAAAATCTCTTATCCGACGGCAAAGGAAAAATAGGGACGGGTGGCACGATCCGGACGACTCTCAGATATTGAGAAAAGATTATCAAGTACAATTAGCATTAAATGATGAATGACTAATATCTTTGTTGGTGGTACAAACCGAACGAATGGTGGTAAGAAAAAGGAAGGAACCGGATGCCCCCGGGATCGAGCCGCTGCCGAACGGATGGGAGAGAATAAGCGAGATCTGTTTAATCATTACAAGAGCCAGTCGTACTGCGCGCATTAAATGCGAAGATACATAAAAATCTCTTATCCGACGGCAAAGGAAAAATTGGGACGTGTGGCACGATCCGGACGACTCTCAGATATTGGGAAAAGATTATCAAGTACAATTAGCATTAAATGCTGAATGACTAATATCTAAAAATATCCTGTAAAAGGAAATGTAAAAATCCCCAAGAAGGGAAATGTAAAGTCCCTAAACTTCCTATAAAAGGGAGGGGAGGACATCATTTAATGCAATGAGTAAATGCTCTCATTAATTACTCAATAAGTCACGGATAGATTGAGCATTCGGACCAGTAAAATTAAACCGAATCACAAACATAAATTCTGTTCGTGCAGACCGAACAGAGTACACATCTTAGTGTACAGTTCGAAAACATTGTTGGTCATTTTTAGACATCAACAATTGGCGCTAGAGGAGGGGTTATTCCAGCATGTCAAAGACAACTTCATCATCATCAAGCAAGAGTCGCCAGAAAGACTCACCGGAAGAAGGGAGGACCGGCGAAACAACCCAACCACGAGGACGGACTATTCAGCCTTTTTCAAAGACCCAAACTTTGTTAAGGGAATATCAAACCTGATAACACAGATCCGGCCCTCTACGTCTCAAGCACCCAAAACCCCAGCCAAAAAAGACCTTACCAACACCCTCAAAGGCAAGGAAACGAACGTTCGCGAAGAAACCACCCGGTTGCCCGGGAGCACGAAGGAAAAATCCACCACCCAGACGGGAAATGAACAGACGGACGAAAGTTGCTCGGTCACGGACACTCGAACTCGAAACACCACCCGGTCGGTTTTCAGACGGCTGGGAAAAAACGTGGCCGACGACGACTTGAGGAAAACATTGACGAGAAGGAGAACGACTCAAGCCGAAGAAGACGAAATGAAGAGCCTCCGAAGAAGAATAGCCAAACTCGAAGCTCGGCGTTCGGCCCAAAAACGACTAGTTTCCACCGGACAGGATCTGACGGAAGTCCCTCTCAAACGAGCCACGACAACCTCAAGGGCACGAACGGAATCCAGCCCAACCGAACCCGAATCACCCCTAACATTTGATATTTTGCAGGAACAGCTGCCCGAGAAGATCAAGATCCCACAGATCAGATTTTACGACGGAACATATGACCCGGACACCCACCTAGGATTATACACGTCATGGATGGACCTGCACGGAGCACAGGACGCCCTCCGCTGCCGGATGTTCTCATTAACTCTGGGAGAAAAAGCACAAAGATGGTACCATTCGCTCGCCCCACATTCGGTCGCTAGGTGGTCACAATTAAAGTCCATGTTCCGAGCCCACTTCATCAGATCCCAGGCATGCCGAATTCCCAAAGAATCGATCACTCACATTATCCAGGGAGTAGACAAGAGTTTGAAGAATTACATCACTCGTTTCAACGAATGGGTACAAAACATGGAACCGTGCCATCAGAAGACCCTGCTCGTTTCGGCATACTCGGGACTGAGACCAAACTCGATGTTCAAATGGACCCTCTGCCAAAAAAAACCTCAGACGTATCACGAATTCTTGATGAAAGCTCAACAACATATCATGGCAGAAGAAAACATGTCCGTCCCGTCATTCCCAGCCTTGAACGAGCAAACCACCAAAGCAAAGGAATCCCGACCGAACAAGGAGTTTGCGAAGGACGGAAGAAGCTCCCAATTCTGAGCCATGCAGAGGAAACATCACGAGGAACTCACGAACAACTACCAGGGGGTGTATTCGGCCGGAGCGGCCGTAGTGTATGAAGAGTTGAAAAACAAGGGGATCATCCCAGACCCCAAACCGATCGAGGGCCCAGAAGAGGAAGACAAATACCCTATGCTGACGTCATCAAACGCAAACACGCCTTCACCCCCGAGAGATGGACAGGGCAAAAGGCTGTGAAAGGATCGGTGGCCGATCAAACCGACCCAAAAGGAGAACAAAACCAGAGGTCCACCCAAGAAGAGAACAATCCGTGCGATGAGGAGAATCGAACGGTAGACCGGGGACGCCGACCAGGGAAGTAACCAATCAAAGAAAAAGACGAGCTGGATTCCCGAGACCAATTCAAAGGAAAGAAATCCAAACGGGCCGAACCAAGCGAAGACACGAAGGCGATCTATCTTGATGAACCAGCCTGCACCAAGTCATTACGCATCCGACGCAACATGGGCGAACTCATCCTGTCCAGGTTAATTACTTTTCTAATCGAAAACGCAGATGTCTTCGCCTGGACGCATGAAGATATGGTGGGGATCGATCCAAACTTAGCATGCCATAGCCTTCTGGTTGATCGAAAGGTAAAGCCAATCGTGCAGAAAAGGAGGAAGTTGGGACCAGAACGACAAGGAGCGCTCGAGGGGGAAGTAATAAAGCTGATTGGCAACAAGTTCGTTCGCGAAGCCAAGTACCCGGTTTGGGTATCCAATCCGGTCCTGGTAAAGAAGAATAGTGGGACGTGGCGACTATGCGTCGACTTCAGCGATCTCAATCGGGCCTGCCCCAAAGACAGTTATCCGTTGCCCAACATCGATTACATGGTAGACGCGACGTCCGGACACGAACTCATGAGCTTCATGGACGCCTATTCGGGATATCACCAGATCCTGATGGACCCGAACGATGAGGAGCACACATCTTTCTATTCGGCCAGAGGACTCTATTGCTACACCATGGTGCCATTCGGTCTCAAGAATGCCGGGGCAACCTACCAGAGGCTCGTGAATAAGATGTTTGCAGATCAAATCGGACGAACTATGGAAGTTTACGTGGACGATATGCTTGTTAAATCTGTTTTTGCGAACAATCATGTGTCACATCTCAATGAAATGTTTTCTATTTTGCGTGATTACTCCATGGTGTTAAATCCCAAAAAATGTACATTTGGGGTAGGTTCGGGTAAGTTTTTAGGGTACATAGTTAGTCAAAGGTGAATCGAAGCGAACCCCGACAAGATTAAAGCAATACTCGAACTAAAACCCCCTAGGTCGATAAGAGAAACGCAAAGTCTAACGGGTAGATTAGCAGCTTTAAGCCAATTCATATCAAAGTCCACGGACAAATGTAAGCCTTTCTTCGAGGCTATTAAAAAGAATAATAAATTTGAATGGACGGACGAATGCCAACACGCGTTGGACAACATCAAGGAGTCGCTCGTTCGGCCCCCGGTCCTCCAAAAGCCAAACCCTGGAGAGATGTAATATCTATACCTCGGAGTTACCCCGACCGCGATAAGCGCCGTACTCGTTCGGGAGGAAAATTTGAATCAACATCCGATCTATTACACAAGCAAGGCATTACATGAAGCTGAGGTCCATTACCCCCAGATCGAGAAGTTAATCTTCGCCCTAGTGACGGCTTCGAGGAAACTCAGGCCGTATTTCCTTGAACACCGGGTGACCATCTTGTCAGCCTATCCTATTCGACAAATTCTCCACAAGCCTGATACGTCGGGACGAATGATCAAGTGGGCCGTAGAGCTTGGGCAGTTCGATCTCCAATATAAACCACGGACGACGATAAAGGGACAAGCATTGTCTGACTTCATAGTCGAGTTCACAACGGGAGCCGAACCAGTCCAGACTACAGAGACTTGGGAGATGTATATAGACGGATCGGCCACAACCGAAGGATCTGGGGGAGGAGTCGTGATCGTCAGCCCCCAAAGAAAGCTATATTGCCATTCGCTCCGGTACCTGTTTTCCGCAACTAATAACGAGTCAGAATACGATGCACTATTTTCCGGCCTGGACTTGGCCCACTCGATGAACATCACGAATTTAAAAGCATACTCAGACTCAATGTTGTTAGTAAAGCAAATCTCAGGGGAGTTCGAGACAAAGGAAGCCCGCCTGGTGCCATATTTACACCTAGCTCGGAAGAAGATAGTGCGAGCGAACATTCGGCTTGTGCACGTCCCCCGGTCAGAGAATGCCCAGGCGGACGCGCTCGCACGGTTGGCATCCAGCAGAGGAACTGACGAAATCGAGTACGTTTACACTCGCCATCAGGAGAGGCCGGCCGTTCAGGTCGAGCAAATCATGAGGATTGAAGAATCGGTCGGTGCCACAACATCCGGATGGATGGATCCGATCCGATCATATTTGGAGAAGGAAGAACTTCCCGCAGACCTCAAGGGTGCTCGGTCATTAAGGATCCGAGAGGCAAGATACACGATCATGGCAGGAACGTTATACAAGAGGGGCTATTCGAACCCCTTGCTCAAATGTGTGGACGACGAAGAAGCAGAACGAGTCATGAGAGAAGTGCACGAGGGCGTATGCGGGAACCATTCGGGGGGACGAGCGGTTGCGCATAAAATACTACGACAGGGGTATTACTGGCCCACGCTGAAAAGGGACACGTTTAACCTAGTTAGGAGGTGTGTTAAGTGCCAAACGTTCGCCCCTAACTTAAAGCAGCCGGCTCATCCGCTTACCTCAGTTTTCAGCCCCTGGTCGTTCGCCAAGTGGGGAACCGACTTAATCGGACCCTTACCTACAGGCAAGGGAGGAGTCAAATACGCGGTCGTAGCGGTCGATTACTTTACTAAATGGGCAGAGGCCGAGCCTTTGGCCACGATAACCGAGCAGAAAATGGTCGACTTTTTGTGGAAATCAATCGTTTGCCGATTTTGTATTCCCCATTCTGTGGTAACTGATAACGGACGACAGTTTGAGGGAAAGAAATTCGGCACGTTTTGTTAAGAGCTGGGGATTCGACATCATTTCTCTACCCCTTACCATCCGCAGTCCAACGGGCAAGTCGAGGCAGTCAACAAAATTATTAAACAAGGTTTGAAGGTACGACTGGAAAGCTCGAAAGGGGCCTGGCTGGAGGAGCTCCCGAACGTCTTGTGGTCATATCGGACCACACCAAGATCGACGACGGGAGAAACACCGTTCTCGTTAGCATATGGGGCAGAGGCAATGGTCCCGTTCGAAATCGGGTCTGAAACGTATCGAGTAAAGAATTTAGAAGAGGAAGAGAATAGAGAGGGATTGCGAACGGGTTTGGATTTAATAGAAGAAGCACGGACGCAAGCCGAACTAAAGAATGCAGCATACAAACGGGTGACCGAAAGACACTTCAACGCAAGAGTCAATTCTCGTCTGTACCGAGTGGGAGAACTAGCTTTGAAGAGAGTGACGGGACCGGATCCCGGTCCCCTAAAACCAAAATGGGAAGGACCGTATCAAGTTGACGCCGTACTTAAGAATGGGGCCTATCGATTGAAGTACTTAGACGGAACCCCGCTGATGTATCCCTGGAATGCCATGTATTTGAAGAAGTATTATCAATAAAGAGTGTTCTCGTCCGATCAAAAATAAAATGACCCCAAGAAGGGTAACAACTGGACCACTTAAGGTTGCCCGGTATCGGATCACTTAAGGTCGTCCGATCAAAAATCAAAATGACCCCAAGTAGGGTAATAACCGGACCACTTAAGGTTGCCCGGTATCAGATCACTTAAGGTCGTCCGATCAAAAATCAAAATGACCCCAAGTAGGGTAACAACCGGACCACTTAAGGTTGCCCGGTATCGGATCACTTAAGGTCGTCCGATCAAAAATTAAAATGACCCCAAGTAGGGTAACAACTGGACCACTTAAGGTTGCCCGGTATTGGATTACTTAAGGTCGTCCGATCAAAAATTAAAATGACCCCAAGTAGGGTAACAACCGGACCACTTAAGGTTGCCCGGTATCGGACCACTTAAGGTCGTCCGATCAAAAATAAAATGACCCCAAGTAGGGTAACAACCGGACCACTTAAGGTTGCCCGGTATCGGACCACTTAAGGTCGTCCGATCAAAAATCAAAATGACCCCAAGTAGGGTAACAACCGGACCACTTAAGGTTGCCCGATATCGGATCACTTAAGGTCGTCCGATCAAAAATCAAATGACCCCAAGTCGGGTAACAACCGGACCACTTAAGGTTGCCCGGTATCGGACCACTTAAGGTCATCCGATCAAAAATAAAATGTCCCCAAGTAGGGTAACAACCGGACCACTTAAGGTTGCCTGGTATCGGACCACTTAAGGTCGTCCGATCAAAAATCAAATGACCCCAAGTAGGGTAACGACCGAATCACTTAAAGTTGTCCGATCAAGATTGAAGCGACATGAAGATATTAAGCGACAGAAACATAAAATACCACACTTAGTTCATTTTCCATACATAGGGAAATCACACAAATACCCGAACCCTACAGGGAATAAACTATCCCCGGGCTCGGAACACACCAACATTCGGAAATGCAAATTAAAATAAGTTGTTCAAAACAGCAAGCAACATACGCAAACATACTTAAAGAAAAAACAGAAATAGCAACTAGAAAGTGATTGAAAGTCAAATGGGGGGGTGGTTGTCCGTTCCCAGCATCCTCATCATTCTCGCCCGTTCCTTCACCTTGACGGTCGGGAGGGTGGCTCGGACCGGCCCCGGTCGTATCCGCGGCGGATTTGGAAAAGGCGGAGTCGATCAGACGGCTGTCATAGGTTTTCTCATCGTCATCCGCGATCACGGCCGAAATCTTCATCTCCTCGGGCAGAGCCAGCCGCTCGAATTTGATATCA